GAGATGTGTAACGGAAAGGAAGAAAGGTGGGGGAAAGAATGGAAAGAAAGGTTGCTCACAATATCCGCAACTTTAGATGTGGTGTCGAAACACGTAGGAAATTCATCCTTATGGATGTATGAGTTGACTGACACATGATGTTTGGAAGCCTTGGAAAGGTGTTGACAAACTCTAAGCTTGTCAGGCACCCCAGGTTCTTGCAGTTGAACAGAAACAATAAGGGATGATGATTGGAATGGGCCATGCAGAATCCGCTCTACCCCTTCCTGAGAAAAGGGGCCAGAAAGCCTGCTGGACTTGACTTCTTTAGTGAGGTAGTCAGAGACGGTGTCAGGGTAAGAGAGGATGGAGGGGTTATTAGGCATGATGATGGTTTGGGGAAGTGGAGGCATGTGCCCAATGGGAAAGCTGAAGCGCAGATTGAAGGGAAGTAGAGGATAACTGTGGAAAAGGTTGTGTTTGTGCAATAAGAAATCGAAGGCATCAGGATTGTATGGGTGCAGGATTCTGTGAAAAAGCAAAGACTTGTCTGAAGAGGTGCTGGGCAAAGAGGGGCAAGGAATGATGGAAGCTGAGAAATCAGAGTAAGAAAGGGGAAGCGAAAGCGACACCTGAAGAAACACATCAGTTTGAGGGTCAGGAACGGCAAGTCCATGAGAAGGCGTGATGGCACTTGCTGCCACAGAAGGAGCAGAGGTGGGCACATTCATCTTTATGAGAACATGGGTGCCCTTGGTCACCTCTGAGATTCCAGCTAATGCAAATGACCCAATTATCAGGAGTGAGGAGGTTGTGGTCACTGTACTTTGACCATATGGCCTTTCCGTCTGATTTGAACTTGATGACTGTGATGCTGTCAGCATGTTGGGTTGCATCGTGGCCTTGCTCAGTGCAGATAAGGCAGTTGGGTGTCGAGGAGGAAGATCTGCTGCTGCCTGATTGAAAGAGCTGAGAAGCCTGAGGATGTGGCTGAGAAGAGCGAGTGGCAGGTCGTGGCATGGGTTTTCCAAATGTCACACTGAAAGGAGTCTTGGTGGGTTCAGAGCCCATCATCCCATGAATGTCAGCCATCATTTCGCACTGCTTCTCGGAAAGCTTGTAAGCTTGATAGTAATGAGAAGCGTCGAATGCGCCATATTTTACCCAATGTTCTTTCTGGAATTTCAGCTCATCAGATTTCCAAGCATCGTAAAGTTCATCTTTAGTGTCCTGGGCAGTGTAGAAGCAAAAATGGTCATTGTACCAATTGCTATGAGCTTTGCCAGTGCCTTCTTCATCCTGTTCTTTTTGAAAAAGATACATATTGCCAGCAGCTTCCATCCACTGGCTACAAGATAAAGAGAGTTCCTTCCCAAAACACACAGAGAGTTTTTCAATGTCAAGAATAACAGTACCCTTTGTTTCACCAGGATTTGGATTAGTTTTTGTCATCAGTAAAGTAGAAGCTTTGACATTCAAGATATTCAAATTCTTGTTAAGAAAGAACTTAGGCAAAGGCACAGTGATGCAGAGTTCAGTGTCAAAGAGGCTCTGAGCAAAGGTGGCCTGCCATGGAACTCCTACCACCCAAGGTACCATTTTTTGACCATTCATGCAATGTCGCTTTGCAATCTTAGCCTGTTCTGCAGAAGGCTTAGCATCA